TGCGTCCCCCCTCCTCCCCCGGCGCCCTGGCTAACTTTCACCTCCGTTGACACCCACATCCACAAAAGGATTTCAGTGCCTCGCTCCCGCAGGGCTCCGTCTACACTGGCATGATTTTGCGCAAGAACTCTTTTGCGGAAGAGTTCTTGTGCAAAAACTCTTCCACAAGAGCGCGTCTACACTGGCACGTGCCTTTGCACAAGAGATTTGCTTTTGCGCAAGAGCATCCCTGCCAGTGCAGATGCTCTCTTGCGCAAGAAAGCTCTGATGGCCATTTAAACCATCGGACTTTCTTGCGCAAGAAATTCATGTTGCCTGTCTACACTGGCCTCTTGCGCAAGAACAGTTGTGCACGAGGGCTTATCCCTGAGCGGGAGAGTCAGAGTTCTTGCACAAGAAGCCCTGATTTCTTACATTAAAATGGCAGCGTTCTTGCACAAGAACTCGTGGCCCGTGAAGACAGGCAGTAAGTTTGGCACAAAAGCGGCTGCTTTTGTGCAAGATCGCACCAATGTAGACACATGGAATTCAATGACAATGCGAGCGCCTTGAACTGATCTTTATACACCCTCTGCCGCCTGTGATTCTTGTTGGCTGCTCTGTCATTGTGAGGTTAGGACTCACCAGCCTGTTACATCGCATATAATTGTTTTACGCTCCACGGGAGACAGTGGCAGGCTTAGAGACCGATTAGCAAGGTTACCAACCCACAGAAATTTCATTTATGGACAAAATGGGAAAACTGTACGGACAGACACATTTTTTTAAACAGACATCATTTTTATACCCTATGAAGACGACATGAATGGCCAAAAGTGAAGAGTTATCGTTGTCATTCATACACCACAAGAGCAATATGAGGTTCAAATAAACAACTAAAACATCCAATTTCCACTGCTCCGTAGTAAAATGGCTGAAGCAGCCCAGAAGAAATTTAATTGCTGTAGAATAATTGCTGTGCTTTGAAATTTTATTGCGCTTTTACAAAATTTATGGACACCTAAATTTTTTTACGGACTTTAATATCTAATTTTGGCTATTTTTTGACATACTGTCCGTAAATTTACTGACGGTTGGTGACCCTACAGATTAGTAGCCCTTCCTCTACTGATGATCAATCCATGTGAGACCCATCGGACCCTAACACTAGTGTTAAGGGTGTGAGTGTGCATGTAACTTGTGCACAGGCCTGTGTAGAATTTCTATGCGCTTGGGTATTCATAGCCTTAATTAAACTTGAAAACCAGACAGACCTAATGATAGAGTGGAAGAATGAGTGGAGTGGCAAGGGTGAATAAAAAAAGTTATTTACTTGTTCCCATAATATAAGAACTAGAGGACACCAAATGAAATTAATGGGTAGCAGGTTTAAAACTAATAAAAGAAAAGTTCTTCATGCAGCATAGTCACCCTGTGGAACTCCTTGCCAGAGGAAGCTATGAAGGCTAGGACTATAACAGAGTTTAAAAAAGAGCTATATAAATTCATGGAGGTTAGGTCTATAAAAGGCTGTTAGCCAGGGGGTAGGAATGGTGCTCCCAGCCTCTGTTTGTCAGAGGCTGGAGAGGGATGGCAGGAGACAAATTGCTTGATCATTGTCTTCAGTCCACCCTCTGTGGGGCACCTGGTGCTGGCCACTGTCGGCAGACAGGCTACTGGGCTAGATGGACCTTTGGTCTGACCCAGTACGGCCGTTCTTATGTTATTAATGGCTTCTTATGTCCCTTATGAAACTCCTGCTAGTACATCTCAGAATGATGTTTGCTTTTTTTTTTTTTTTTTTTTTGCAACAGTGAGACACCGTTGATGCCTGTTCAGCTTTGGACCCACTCTCCCCTCATCCCTGTCTGCAGGACTCCCTCCTGAAGAGTCATTTCCCGTTTTGTACGCTTGCAGCGGATTGTCCCTTCCTAACAAATCCACACACGTGCAAGAAAAATACGTCGCAATTCCAGTGAGTCGTCAGGCAACACTTACAGCGTTCGGTTTAGAGGGGAGCCGTCCACCCAGCTCCAGGTATTGGTACGGGCCGTGAAGTTCAAGCCGATCCAAAAGTGGCCTGTGCCTTTCGTAAGACTCTGTATGAAATCCTACGGAGTGTAAGACAAATGTTTGGGTGACCCTCACACGGTTTTATTCCCTCTTCATATACAGAGACCCCACCCCTCTGTCTCCCCATGAGGCCTATGAGGGGGCGTCTACACAGCTGTGTGATTTCGGAATATACTGGCATTATTTTGAAACCACAAAGTCTGCATCTAGACTGGCATGATTTTGCGCAAATACTTTTAACGGAAAAGTTTTCCTGTTAAAAATATTTGTGCAAAAGAGCGTCTACACTAGCATGGTGTCAAGTATCAGAGGGGTAGCCGTGTTAGTCTGAATCTGAAAAAGCGACGAGGAGTCCTGTGGCACCTTATAGACTAACTGAAGTGTAGGAGCATAAGCTTTCGTGGGCAAAGACCCACTTCGTCAGATGCATGCATCCTACACTTCAGTTAGTCTATAAGGTGCCACAGGACTCCTCGTCGCTTTTTCAGATTCAGACTAACACGGCTACCCCTCTGATACTTGACACCATGCTAGTGTAGACGCTCTTTTGCACAAATATTTTTAACAGGGAAACTTTTCCGTTAAAAGTATTTGCGCAAAATCATTCATCCGTGCCAGTGTAGACACTCTCTTGCGCAAGAAAGCTCTGATGGCCATTTTAGTCATTGGGCTTTCTTCCGCAAGAAATTAACGTGGCTGTCTACACTGGCCATCTTGCACAAAAATACTTGTGCAAGAGAGCCTATTCCTGAGCGGGAGCGTCAGAGTATTTGTGCAAGAACCACTGATTTTGTACATTACAAAGTCAGTGTTCTTGCGCAAATACTCGTGGCCAGTGTAAACAGGCAGCAAGATTTTGCGCAAAAGCGGCCGCTTTCGTGCAAAATCTTGCCAATGTAGACACAGCCAAAGTGAGCGTCTACATGGCAGGCCATTTTTTCGAAATAACAGCAGGCTGGGGGACTTCTTACTCTGACTCCTGTAACCCTCATTTTATGAGGAGTAAGGGAAGTCAGAGGAAAAGTGTTCTTCTTTCAACTTCCTGGTGTGTAGACAGCGCCAAAAGAGAAATTATGCTATTTCAACTTAAGCTACACAACTGTAGTTTAAGTTGCATATCTTAATTCAACTTCAGCCCTGCTGTGCAACCCAAAACATGCCAAGAAAATATATTCTGACCCTATGGGACCAGAATATGGGAACCTCTCTTTGCAACACGGAAGAAAAGACCCGTTTCCTTGAGAGTCGCTGGGTGGTAAAGGAGTCAAAAAGCTCCATTGATTCATGCCAGCTGGAGATCGATCCCTCTGACTCCAGGGGTGCTACACTGAATTGGATCCGTCGGGGGAATCAATTGCCCCGGCATATTGCCCTTCACCATCTCCTCTTGATCCTGGATCACAAGCATCTGGGAATTCTTCTGCTTGCAGGCTTGGCGGCTCTCGTTCCAGAACTGGCTCTCGTTCGAACCCCAGTAGCACTTGGCTCGGTTCTCCCACCAGTCCTTGGGACACAATATGCATCCGGTGCCCCCTGGAAGGAAAACAGAGACGTCCGGGAACTCACAGAAAGCCGGTATCGGTTTTTTCCCCCAAGCCGTTCCATAGCTGGAGCCAGCAAGGAGCCGGGAACAGCCAGGCAGGCACCCCTAGCTGTCTCCAGGGCTGGAGCAGGCATCAGCTGGAGGTAGGAAGAATAAGGCAGCTACTGAAGAAAGGGCCAGTAAGGAGGCTGCCAGTGGCATACTGGCTAAGCTGTCAGCCTCTAGACCCACGTCTGCCAACCTATGGGTCGGGACCCAAATATGAGTCGCCATTACATTTCAAAAGGGCTGCAGATGGCTCTAAAAGAGCCATTCACACATTTTTTTGAATTGCCCTGGGTCACCAAGTCTTCCTGAATTGTCACAATGGGTCCCCATCTGGAAAAGGTTGGGAACTGCTGCTCTAGACTTTGAGATTGTGGGTTTGAGTCCTGCCTACCCCAGTCTAAGAGCAGCCATGAAACCCTAGCAAGGTGCCAAAGATATCAGCATGGAGCACCCTGCCCCAGCAACAGGAGCAGAAGAGAGGTCCTCCAAGCAGGCTAGAGTGGCGGCCTCTGTGGTAGCCAATCAGGATGCAACAGGCCAAAATAAAAGAAGCTGCTAGCTCAGGGCCTACCAGGCAAATCTAAGGGATGGCTGGGAGAACAGCAGCGATTCAGGATCTAGCCACCTTGCCCAAAAATTTCCACCTGATTTTATCCTGTGCAGGAAGGGTGGGCTCTGTCTAGACTGGCCACTTTTTCCGGAAAATCGGCCGCTTTTCTGGAAAAACTTGCCAGCTGTCTACACTGGCCACTTGAATTTCCGCAAAAGCACTGACGATCACATGTAAGATTGTCAGTGTTTTTGCGGAAATACTACGCTGCTCCCATTCGGGCAAAAGTCTTTTTCCGAAAAACTTTTGCGCAAAAGGGCCAGTGTAGACAGCAGAGATTTGTTTTCTGAAAAAAAGCCCCGATCGCGAAAATGGCGATCGGGGCTTTTTTGCGGAAAAGCGCGTCTAGATTAGCCACGGACGCTTTTCCGCAAAAAGTGCTTTTGTGGAAAAGTGTCCGTGCCCATCTAGACTCTGTGTTCCGAAAATGCTTTTAACAGAAAACTTTTCCATTAAAAGCATTTCCGGAAAATCCCCCCTCTTTTCTTTTAGCCAAAGGGATTTCATCCAAACTGCCTCCCCCCAACTACAAACCCTGTATAATAAGATCAAGTTTGATCACAGTCAAGCACAGGAGCTGCATCTAGAATGGCAAGATTTTGCGCAAAAGCAAGCACTTTTGCGCAAAATCTTGCCACCCGTCTACACTGGCCGCGAGTATTTGTGCAGGAACATTGACTTTGTACTGTACAAAATCAGTGCTTCTTGTGCAAATCCTCTGATGCTTCCGCTCAGGGATAAGCCCTCTTGCGCACGTATTCTCTGCCTCCCCCCAACTATGAACCCTGTATAATAAGATCAAGTTTGGTCACAGTTAAGCACAGGGGCTGCATCTAGACTGGCACGGATGCTTTTGCGCAAAATCTTGCCTCCCGTCTACACTGGCCGCGAGTATTTGTGCAGGAACATTGACTTTGTACTGTACAAAATCAGTGCTTCTTGTGCAAATCCTCTGATGCTTCCGCTCAGGGATAAGCCCTCTTGCGCACGTATTCTTGTTCAAGTGGGCCAGTGTAGACAGCCACGTTAATTTCTTGTGCAAGAAAGCCCAATGGCTAAAATAGTGATAGAACTGTAGCCATGTTAAAATGGCCATCATAGCTTTCTTGCTCAAGAAAGCGTCTACACTGCGCTTTTGCGAGAAAGCATCCGTGCCAGTGTAGATGCTCTTTTGCGCAAATCCTTTTAACGGAAAAACTTTTCCGTTAAAAGTGTTTGCGCGAAATCATGCCAGTCTTGACGCAGCCAGGGAGTTTCATCATAGAGGAGAAATATGTGAGCGTCTGCAAACTGGCATGAACGCTGCCTGACTTTAGTGATAGAAATGTAGCCGTGTTAGTCTGGGATAGTTGAAGCAAAAGTTGTATCCTTTGGTATATATGGTTGTGACTACTTTCTTCCACTATTTGATGTGAGGAAGTGGGTCTGGCCCACGAAAGCTCATCATCCAATAAACCATCTTGTTAGTCTTTAAAGTGCTACATTGTCCTGCATTTTGCCTGGCTTTAGGGCACTCTGTAGAGTGAGAATTACCCCCTGGGACCACTAGGGGTCGCTGCTGCTCTTACGTAGGTGCCTGCTGGCTCTGTGCGGAATATAGGACATTAGTATGTTCTGCGGGATAGTGGGTGGTGAGGGAAGGGTGGATGGGAAATCAGGACGCTGAGGCTGATAGTTCCCGGGGGGCCATGGGGAGAGGCCAGTGCTCCAGCTCAGCCTGATTGGCAGGCTAATGAGGGACTCAGGAGGCCACAGGAGTCCCATCCTCCCCGGGAGCTGGTTTACCTGGGTCCGACAGAGTGGGGCAGAGTTAAGGAGAAAGCAGAGGTTTGAGCTGAGCTGGGGAGCAGAGCCGGGCCAGGCAGAGAGCAGCAGGGACATGGCACAGGGAGCAGGTCCGTGCTGCAGCCAGAGAGCCTGAGGGGTCAGAGAAGCCACCCAGGGAGATGGAGGCATGGACGAGGGGGCGGGGATGGAGCTGTCTGGAGCTGGGTGCAGTGAGCAGCCGGAGAGTTTGAAGGGGGCTGAGGGAAATGGCCTAGGGAAGGGAGACAGCACCAGCCAAGAGACTTTGCAGGCCAGATCCCAATGGGAGAGGTCGGGGAAGGGCTGATTTTGGGGAGATGGGCCCTGCCCCTTGGAGCCTAAAAGTGCCAGAGCAATTGTCAGACCCACAGCATACAGGTTTCTGTAAAGGGAAATCCTGTCTTACTAATCTATTAGAGTTCTTTGAAGGGGTTAACAAACATGCAGACACAGGAGATCCAGCAGATATTTCTTAGATTTATCAGAAAGCCTTAGACGAGGTCCCTCGCCAAAGTCTCTTGTGTAAATTACACGGCCATGGGATAAGAGGGAAGGTCCTTTCTTGGACTGAGAACTGGTTAAAAGACAGGAAACAAAGGGTAGGAATAAATGGTAAATTTTCAGAATGGAGAGGGGTAACTAGTGGTGTACCCCAAGGGTCAGTCTTAGGACCAATCCTGTTCAACTTTTATTCAGAAATGATCTGGAGAAAGGGGTAAACAGTGAGGTGGTAAAGTTTGCGGATGATACTAAACTGTTTAAGATAGTCAAGACAGAAGCAGACCGTGAAGAACTTCAAAAAGATCTCACCAAGCTGAGTGATTGGGCAACAAAATGGCAAATGAAATGTAATGTGGATAAGTGTAAAGTAATGCACATTGGAAAAAATAACCCCAACTATATGTACAATATGATGGGGGTTAATTTGGCTACGACAAATCAGGAAAGATCTTGGAGTTATCGTGGACAGTTCTCTGAAAACTTCCACGCAGTGTGCAGCGGCGGTCAAAAAGGCAAATAGGATGCTAGGAATTATTAAGAAAGGGATAGAAAATAAGACACAGAATATCTTACTGCCCCTGTATAAAACTATGGTACGCCCACATCTTGAATACTGTGTACAGATGTGGTCTCCTCACCTCAAAAAAGATATTTTGGCCTTGGAAAGGGTTCAGAAAAGGGCAACTAAAATGATTAGGGGTTTCGAACGGGTTCCATATGAAGAGAGGCTAAAGCGATTGGGACTTGTCAGTTTAGAAAAGAGGAGACTGAGGGGGGATATGATAGAGGTCTATAAAATCATGAGTGGTGTGCAGAAGGCGAATAAAGAAAAGTTATTTATTAGTTCCCGTAATAGAAGAACTAGGGGACACCAAATGAAATTAATAGGTAGCAGGTTTAAAACTAATAAAAGAAAGTTCTTCTTCACAAAGTGCATAATCAACCCGTGGAACTCCTTGCCAAAGGAGGCTGTGAAGGCTAGGACTATAACAGAGTTTAAAGAGAAGCTAGATAATTTCGTGGAGGTTAGGTCCATAAAAGGCTATTTGCTAAGGGATAGAAATGGTGTCCCTGGCCTCTGTTTGTCAGAGGCTGGAGACGGATGGCAGGAGACAAATCGCTGATCATTGTCTTCAGTCCACCCCCTCTGGGGCACCTGGTGCTGGCCACTGTCGGCAGACAGGATACTGGGCTAGATGAACCTTTGGTCTGATCCAGTATGGTCATTCTTACGTTCTTGTTATCCCTGTGGCCCAGCCAGGGCCTGGGAGATGTGAGGCAGCTGGGGCAGAGACTGTCTCTCGCTGCGTCTGTGCAGTGCCCGGCACAATGGGGCCCTGATCTCAGCTGGGGCTGGGACTGTCTGGGCCTGTAGGTATTACTATTCTGGACATAGCGAATGAGAATCCCCACCCTGAAAGCTCAGTTGAAATAGATCCTTAAACCTATTGTACAGATGGGAAAACTGAGGCCCAGAGGCAGTGTTGTAGCCAGGCTGGGACAGAGGGGCTATGACAGAGCCAGGCACTGTGATCTCGAGTCCCATTGTGAACAGTGAGTATTTTCCAGCAGACGTTAACAGATGGGCTGTTCGCACCCTCCCAGAACTCCCCCACTCCCGTGGTTCCCAGGTTCCGAACCCGACATGGAAGCTGGTTCAGAGACAGCCTGCGCTGTGGTTACCTGCTGGGCAGCTCTGGGCCAGGTCACACAGACTCTGCATGAGCTGAGACATGGAGGCCTCCTGCCGATGGTTGCTTTCGGAGCTGCAGCGGGTCCCGCCGGCCCGGAAACCTACCAAACAGCACCGGCACACAGCTCGTGAGGATCCTCTGAGGAGCCAGGCCCCGTTCCATCGCACAGGGAGCTGGTCCGAGAGAAAGAGGATGAATCTGGCCTCGGTTCCTCCTTGGCCTGCCCTCTGGGGCAGCCTTTACGCTAATGCAGATTGTTTAATTATTATTTTAATGGAATCCTAGAATACTGAAACTGGCAGGGACCTCGAGAGGTCATTGGGTCCAGTCTCCTGCTCTCATGGCAGGACCCAGCACCATCTAGACCATCCCTGACAGGTGTCTGTCCAACCTGCTCTTCAATATCTCCAGAGATGGAAATTCCACAACCTCCCTGGGTAATTTATTCCAGTGTTTCACCACCTTGACAGGCAGGAAGTTTGTTCTAATATCCAACCTAAACCTCCCTTGCTGCAATTTTAAGCCCATTGCTTCTTGTCCTGTCCTCAGAGGCCAGGGAGAACAATTTTTCTCCCTCCTTCTTGTGATACCCTTTTAGATACTTGAAAACCACAATCATGTCCCCCCTCAGTCTTCTCCTTTCCAAACTAAACAAGCCCACTTCCTTCAGTCTTCCCTCACAGCTCATGTTTTCCAGGCCTTTCATCATTCTTGTTGCTCTTCCCTGGACTTTCTCCAATTTCTCCACATCTTCCTTGAAATGCGGTGCCCAGAACTGGACACAATCCTCCAACTGAGGCCTAATCGGTGCAGAACAGAGCAGAACGACTTCTCGTGTCTTGCTCACAGCACTCCCGTTCATGCCTCCCAGAATCATGTGTGCTTTTTTTGCAACAGCATCACACTTGTGGTCCACCCTGACCCCTAGATCCCTTTCTGCGGGAATCCTTCCTAGACAGTCGTTTCCCATTCTGTGTGTGTGAAACGGATTCGATAAATAAAAAACCCTCGTTTTCCCATCGTCTTCCCTTCCTCCTCCTTTTTGCCCCTTTTTCTGCTTTCCTGTTTTTGCCACGAATCAAGGCTGGTCGATGGAGAAAACGGGAGAAACATTTTCAAATTATTCATTAAAAACCTCCAGAGCATAGAATCATAGAATAATAGGACTGGAAGGGACCTCAAGAGGTCATCGAATCCAGCCCCCTGCCCTCAAGGCAGGACCAAGCTCTACCTACACCATCCCTGACAGATGTCTATCTAACCTGGAAAAGATGTCGTGAAAGCCTTCGGCAGAAAAAACAAACAAACAAAAAGTTAGGGTTGAGTTTTTAAAACAATCAGAAGGAAGAAAATGCCAGCTGCTGTAGTCAGTAACGTGTTTCCCATGCCCCTGAAGCGAGAGGGGGACTGGCGGCTGGACAACAGGGAATCAGACCCATTGAGCTGAGCCGGGTCTGGAGAACACAGCAAAAACCGGGCCCCGTGAATGTGCCCCACCGGAGCACATGAACCGTGGCTGAAACTTGCCACTGCGGGCAAAACGCCAGCTTCTCATTTCTCCGGTATCCTGAGCGGTGGGTATGAGAGGAAGGGGAAGCTAAGCTCTGAGTTTCCGGCCCTCCCCTGCCTGCCTGCCTACTCTCCAGAGGGCTAGCGCCACATGCTGCCCACCCCCCCGTGTTGGGGGGCGGGGCTGCACGTGGACTGGAGGGGTGGGGCGGTGGAGCTGCCTGTTCTCTGGTGGGGCCTGGGGCTGCCTGTGCTCAGGGGTGGGGGGCACAGGGAAGGCTGGGGCCATGAGACACCCATACTCTGGAGGGGCGGGGGGCCCGGGGGGGGGGGG